GTTGAGGTGGCCTCTCGTGGAAGGCACCTTTGATCAGTCTGGTTACTAGTGGGTGTCGCCCACTTCATAGCCATCGATCCTCTCATGAACAGATGAGATTGCTGATCTGTAGGCGTTCATGTGAGCGATATTGGTAACCTTGTTGGAATAGATCAGCCAGGAAGTTAACCACTTCGTTTATACTTCCCAGAAATGGGATTTGTATTCCTCTGGTTACACCAGCGAACCCACTTTCCAAACAAGGAGTCATAGGATTTTGATGTTTTCTGCCTCCATGATGAAAGGAGGAGTTTTGGAGCCTCTTCTGAAAGATTCTGGCCTCTGAATCTATGCCTGAGATAACCCATGCGGCTAGAGGGGGTACTATCTCTGGTTTGTTGACTCTGTGAGTCGGTATGATCAGTGTTGGGCTGACTGGTAGTAGGAGTGGCTCCTGAGTCAGCATCTCTAGCAACAGTGGGTACCATATTTGTGACCTCCATACTGGAGCAATCAGTGTCACTCTTGCTCTCTGGTTCCTGACATGTGTCAGGACTCTTCCTATCAAGTTCCATGGGGGATTGGCATATCCCCTGAATTGTGTCCAGTCCTGAAGGCATCTGTGGCCATGGCCCCTGGATCCGGTCTCCAGCTGGCATAATTGCTGAGCTGGTGGGTCAGCCGAGAGGCAAATAAGTCCACTTGGAGTCGCCCTGTTTTGGTATTGATCCTGCTGAATACCCTGGGGCATAGCAACCAGTCTGATCTGTCCCGCATCACACGCGACTCTTCGTCGGCTGTACAGTTGAGGACACCCGGAAGGTGGCTCGCTTGTAGTGTTATACTCCTCTCCAGGCACCACAACCATAGCTCTTTGGTGAGTCTGTTCATGCTCGGGGGAGACTGTGCCCCCATACTTGTTTATGTATGTCAGAGCTGTCATGCTGTCCATCATCAGGTGGATGTGAATGTTTTTCCTTTCCCTGGCATATGATTTGATTGCCAGAGTTGCTGCTAGCAGCTCTAGACAATTTATGTGCATCCGGCTCTCGGCCATTGACCAAGGCCCACCTGTTTTCACTCCTTGACACAAGAGCCCCCCATCCTGTTGTGGATGCGTCTGTTTCTATCACAATATCTGGAGTGGTCGTCAGCAGGTACCGACCATTCCATTTGGTGAGGTGTTCCTGCCACCATTCCAGCTCCTGTGTTGCTGCAGGTGTTAAATAAGCCTGGGCAGAGTAATCTCTGCCCCCTACTGTCCTCTCCAAGGTTCTCTGTAGACAGAGTTGGAGATTCCTGTAAAAGAGCGGGGCTGGAGGTATAGCCTGAGCTGCATGGTTTAGCTTCCCTAGCAGCCTGGACAATGCCAGGGCTTGGGGAGTGTGCATCTCCAGTAGTTTCCTTGTGTCTTGGCGTATCTGTTTGATTTTCTCGCCTGGTAATCATTGTAGAGGTGTTGATTACAAACCCCAGAAATTGTATTTCTGTGTTGGGGTCAGGAGGGACTTGGGGTGATTTATAATGAACCCCAGGTTCTCTAGCAGGAATATCAGCCTACTGTGTGTTCCCTCGCCACCGTGGGTGACGATGCCATGATCAGAATGTCGTCTACATCAGCCTCAGTCCTAGGGACCGAAGTGTAGCCACTACTGGCCGTGTGGTCTTGGTAAAGACCCATGGTGCTGACGACAATCCGAACGGGAGGTAATTGAATTGGTAAGTTTGTCCCTGCCACCGAAATCTCAGTAGGCGTCTGTGACGTAGTACCATCGGTATCATAAAGTAGGCATCTTTCAGGTCGACCTTTGTCATCCAGTCACCTGGTTTTAGTATGTCCTTGAGCATGTGAATAGCTTCCATCTTGAACTGGACTGTCTCCACGAAGGTATTCAGGCCCTTCAGGTTGATGATGGGCCTCATGCCCCCATCCTTCTTTGGAACAGAGAATAACTGGGACTTGAATCCCCTTGTTCGCCTGTTCTTTTGGTATCTGTGATACCGCCTGCTTGGCTAACATTTTCTGAACCTCCTGTGTCAGATCCTCGGTCTCTGCCTGAGGAAACTTCAGTAGTTCTATTGGAGGGTAAGGTTGGTATGGTTGACACACCAGGTCTATTGTGTAGCCCTGAATAGTGTTTAGCACCCACTGGTCTTTGGTGATAATTACTGGTCTTTGGTGATAATTTTCCAGTTTGGAGTAAAAAGGCTCAGTCTTCCTGCTATGAGGTGGTGGTTTTGGGCTACTCTTTGAGCCATTGAGCTCACCCCCATGTTGACAAGGGCGCTGATTATAGGTGACCGCATAAGGTTCACAAGATAATTTATTTTTAGCATCACACAAACCACTAGTGGTAAGTCTGGGGCTATCTGAACTACTGTGAGTTCTGAGTCTTTTTTGGGTCATGTCTCTTTGACCACTGGCCCTGTGGTAGCCGGTAGGGGTAGGGGTGCTGCCTTTGGTAGCCCCCTCTGCGCCCTCTGAGGTTCTGGCCGCTCCCACGGGGGTGCTGGTTGTAGGAGCGGCCCCTTAAAAAAAAAAACTGGGTCTCTCGTGGTGCCCCGGACGCTTTTGCTGTTGCCATGTTGAGGCACTTTAGTTCCTCATCCCTGCTCCTTGGCTTTCTTGCAGAAGCCGTCTCCGAACAGCAGCGGGGGTGCCGATTTATACACGACATCATCATCGGCCATGTCGAGGAGGCGAGTGTTCATGCTTTGCAGATCATTCTTCCTCCTCTCGCAGCAAGAATGCACCGAGGCATTGCCGAGTAGGCGTAGTGCGGTCTGTGCCGCTTCAATAGCACACTTATGGGTGAGCTGGCCTTTGACCACTTCCTCTAGAATATGTGTGATTGGCCCAACTGCATCCAGCCTTTAGACGGACAATATTTTACTCCCATTTTACACGTGTATGGACAACAGGGCACTATACTGTAAGGTATATACATATTTTGTTATGGTAGTTTGCATGCCAGGCCGTAGCCGCGGTCGATCAAGAGGTTTGCTTCTGGTGCATGCTTGGAGCTCTATGTACTGTTTGAACATCACGACTCTAGTCCAGTCTTTGATGTTTGTTCTATCGACTAGTCCAGTATTTTCAGTGTTTACACCCTTTAGCTAAGAGTTACTCCTCTTCCCTTTTCAAAGTTATACATATTCACTAACCACTGCGCATGAGTATATAGTTCAAATATACTCAGTAATACGAATATTAACCACAAGGTTCACTAGAGAATCCAGCTGCTGTTTTCTTAGCACTATTGCATAGTATCCTTCTTCATCAACAGGGAGGTATAATGGGTGCAATAATAAGTCAGTGGAAGGTCATTAACTTACCACATGATTGATGCTTTCTGTGAAAATGAAAAGCACTAAAGTGCAAACCCTCAGTGAACTACGCATGCGTGATACTACTAATTGATGTGCTGGGCTATTAGTATGTGTTTACTGATGGTCTCCCGCTAGTAGCTTGCGGAGAGTCTGACACGGGCTAGCTACCGTAGTAGATAGCAAGAGGGAGTCGATACATGGCATTCATTGTGACTTCTTGAGCCCCCAATGTACACAGAGCGAGCGGATCAGGTCGCGGTAAGTCCAGTCGATTATGGCTTTTTTCACGGGATATCTCTCGACCGCAGTCGTTTCAGGAAAATCGTCCTCTTTTTTATCAGTGTCGCATAGTTCTGAAGCCGCTGGTATCGCCAATAGGCTGCCTCGTAGCCTGTAGTACCAGAATAAGCGTCGAAACACAAACACACAGACAGACAAACAAACCAACTACGGTAACCCTCGCTGCACATCTGCACCAAGGGGTAATTAGTTCCCAGTAGCATTAAACTGTCTAGAATGAGACTTTTAAACCCATTCAGCAAGGTTTATTCACATATTGTATACTTATGAGACACTGAAGCATTCATATGCACTTTTGTTATTCTCCTTTCAGTCGGTAAAATGGCGACTTCAGACGAATTACAAAGACACCTCTCAGGCAGTGACTTGGGAAATCTTTTAACTGAACTTTGGCCAATACAACCCCGCAACATTCTGAATTTTGGTGTCCAACTTAAAATATCCTACAGCACAATTCAGGAGTTGGAGAACACTAACAAGGTTGATTCCTTGAGAATAATGCTTCACGAAGCTTTAAATCGTGACCCACCTCTTACAAGGAGAGAAATTGTAACAGCTTTGCGAAATCCTTCAGTAGGAGAAGAGAGGCTGGCAAGCCAGATTGAGTCTAAGTACTCTCTGCCTCAAGCTCCTTCATCAGATCCTAACCTAAATGGAGCTATATCTGCTGCACAGTCTACTGCACCAATGCCTATTCCCCACTATCCCCAATTACCTCCTCCATCAGTGCAGCCAATGTTCCCACGACATGCAAGTGTGCAACAACACTCAGGTAGTACTCAATCTCCACAGTGGCCTGTAAACATTCAGCCCCCTACCTATGAACATCGTCCATCTCGACTACTGCAGCAGCCTTGCACTGATTGGGTCGGCCAGTCTAACCACACTCCTTATCCAATTGGCCTGAATACGTATCAGCAGCCGCTAATGCGTAACACAATTCCCAATGTAATGCAGCAAGCATTACAGCTGAAGCAGCCTTTTCCAAATTGTATTTTCCCAGACCACAACATGACCCAAATATGTATCCTGCAGTTCCTAGTGTTCCTGGGTATCACTATCCTCAGCATGCCCCTACACTGCAGCCCATTACGGGAGCATTTTCCCAACAGCCTAGTGTTCAACATCAGTTGTTACCACAGAACCAGTCCCAATCTTTTGGGATTCCTTATAGTCATTCTAGGCATGGTCAAGGCTCACATCTGGATCAAACAGATTCCTCACATGCACAATCCCAATCTGTGCCATTCCCGGTTGGTGCATTAATGTCTAGTGATTCAACACCTTATCATTCACCTGGTCAGCAGCAATTATCTGTTGTAGCTGCGAATGTAGACTCCAGTCCTCTTGCTTCCGTACAATCGACACAAGGTTATTTAGAATTGCCTTTGTCTTCTTCCACTGTATTAACCACAGCTAAATCACCTCACAGCCAAACTTTCTCACCCCAGCTTTCTGTGGCAGAACGTACATGCTTCAATCCCTCACCCCTGTCATACTTACCCAGTCAGCAAGCACTGGGAGGACGTTCAGCTGCAAGTTGTGCTACTGAGGCAATCCCAGTTACATCTATGTGCATTGCATCTACGTCAAGTAGTACTGAAGGTCCTCCTGCTACCAAGAGACCAAGACAGTGGTCATCAGAATTACAACCACAACTACCCACTAGCCAGCCTATTCCAGCCACAGAAGTTACCAGTCCTGATACACAAGGCATCCAGCGTTGCTCACTTTTTGCTGCTGCAGATCCAACTACTGCTGATCTGTCAAAAGTTAAAACCTTTATACAATATGCAAAGCAAAGGTACAGTGCTAAGATAGTAGAGAAGGATAGAAAATGGTCTCTCTCACCCACTGTTGAGTACATTAACCTGGCTTCCATTGACAGGAGATGTGTTAAGAGTAGAGAGTATGAAGATGTAACGAAAGCCATGATTCAGGATGGCAATGTTGATACAATACAGGAGAAAAAAGGGCCAATTGAGTTTAGTGAAATTGCTAAAGGCATTTCCCTCCCATTAAGTGAGCCTAAGTCAGAATCGGAACGAGAGGATGACAGAAGGTTATTACTAGTGGAGGGTGCCCCAGGCGTAGGAAAGTCTACATTTGCTTGGGAGTTTTGTAGGAGGTGGTTAAAGGGAAAGGTGGCTAAGCAGTATCATCTGGTTCTTCTGCTCAGGCTGAGAGACAAGGGAACACGAAATGCAAGAAGTTTGCAGCACTTGATATCTCACCCTCTGCCTGGTGTGTCTGAAGCTGTCTGTCATGAGCTTGTGGCTTCTCACACTTTTCATGCCCTCATCATTCTAGAAGGGTATGACGAGCTTCCCGATAGTCAACGCAATGACCCTTCTTCGATTTTCAATCAGCTTGTTTCTGGAGAGTTGCTGCCTCTTGCCACTGTCCTAGTCACCAGTCGACCTTGGGCCACAAGGGATATACGCAAGAACCATGAATGTCATATGTACCAGCATATTGAGGTTCTGGGCTTTACCAAACGTCAGATAACTGAGTACATCAAAAAGACTGTCCCTAAGGACCAGGTGAGTGATCTCAATTCTTACCTGGAGAGACATCCTCAGATCAAAAGTGGCATGTACATTCCTCTAAACAGCGCCATTGTTGTGGCTGTGTACATAGCAAGTAAGGCTGATCGTCATCCAATGCCAAACACACTAACTGAGTCTACACTTCAGTATAAACATATCATAAGGCGACATCTTGGAAGGCCATCCGGAGCTGGAATAAATATTAATATAAATATAAACATTCTAAATAATTTGATATTAAAATTGCTATAATTAAATAAAACAAACACTTCTATTCACTCTCTTCCTTAACCATGCCCTCCAACCACGCTATCCTTCCGCAGATATTAATAGATACTAGAACAATAAAGATATATCAATGGCATATTTATAGGATAAACTCACTCATCAGATCTCAAAATAGAGAAAAGTCAATGCAGAGTTTTGCCTGCCATTAATTTCTCTTTTTCCTGTGAGGTGCGTGGAATTTTGTTAGTCTTTGCAGACTGGAGTGTGATGGAATTGCAGGTGAAAGTGATGAAGTGAGATTGATCTTCAGCGAGTCTGAACTGCCACCAAAATTTGACATCTGGGTTGATGGACTCAGTCACAGAGCTCTATGTGACTGGTCAAACTTCTTCTCTCACAACTTTCTTCATCTCACATTCCAGGAATTCTTTGCTGCAGTTCACATCTCTACAATGCCTAAAGAACAACAGCTGCAATACTTTAAGAAGAGTAAGACCGATGGGCGTAAGAAAGAAGGCAGGTTAAAGGTAGTGCTAAGGTTTCTTGCTGGCCTACGCAATTTAGATTGTTTTACTCAAGAAACTGTAAAATATATTGCAATGTCTCCTTCAACACCTGTGAGTAGTAAATATCAAAAACCCTGTAACATTTCAGTGGATGTTGATGTTGTAAACTGGTTGTTCGAGTCTCAGAGTCAGACTGCTATTCCCTACTCCTAGAAGAGTGCAAAGTAGAATTCAAGGCAAGATAGTCAAATGATGCAATGGACTACTACTCTCTCGATACTGTCTATCCCACAGCCAGTGCCAGTGGGGTTTGTTTCTTACTGGAAGGAGCGTTGTTTCTAAGGAGAAGATAATACTTCTTGCTAATGGTGCCATAGAATCAAATGGTGTAGGAAAAATTTTCCAACTTGGAGATGATATGCTTGTAAATTTACAAAAACGTTTACTTAATTTCAACATGTTGTTTGCTAAGTGGAGTACTCTTCTTCATCTTCATGAACTTTCCCTTTTTACAATACCACAGACATGGCCAGACCTATCTCACCTGTTGTCATTTTCAATAGAGGGGCATGTCACAAATAAAGTCTGCACGTACCTTGTCAGTTATCTGGTATCAACAAACTGCCTCAAAATGTTTTCTCTTAAGGTCAAGGAGGACATTCGTTATGAAAATCTTCCTACTGCGCAGCTACTACTGGAGTTGTTAGAGGCTGTATACCATCACCACACTATTGAAGAGAAGTCAGTAGTAGAAGCTGCAGTAGATTAACAAATACAGATGATGATGCAAGCTTGAGTCAAATATGCTCTTCAATTCGAGTCAATGAGGACAGATTTTATCAGTGTGTTGGAGGACTAACTGACGATGGAACAACTGTCCTTGCTGAAATTCTCCAACGCAAATACAGATCAAGAGAACTGTTCTTACGCGTAATGAATACAAGCATTATTTCTTTGGCCAAGGTTCTCTGTCATAATTCCGCTATTCAAGCACTGAATGTTACCTCATTCATGAACTATTGTGACAACTCTATACTCCGGTCTCTTCACCATAAGTCCACCCTTAAGATTATAAAGCTGAGTGGCAGCAGTATTGGTGATGGTGGAGCAGCAGCCTTAGCTGAGTCTCTTCATCATAGGTCCACCCTTAAGATTATAAATCTGAGTGGCAACAGTATTGGTGATGGTGGAGCAGTAGCCTTAGCTAAGGCACTTCATCACAACTCTTCCCTGATAAAGATTTATTTGGTAGGAAACAGTATTGGTAGCGACGGAGCAGTATCTCTATCACAAGCCCTTCATTTGAACTCTACCCTTCAGGAACTGTACTTAACATATAACTGTATTGGAGATGAAGGAGCAATAGCCCTCGCTCAGTCCCTTCATCAGAACTCTACTCTCCAGATCCTACACTTGTCAAGTAACAGTATTGTTGATGAGGGAGCACCTCCCCTGGTTCCAGGTCTCCACAAGAACCACTATATGCAGCATTTGGATTTGAGAAACATCGTTGGCATTGGTGAAAGAGTCGCTAGTGAATTTGTGCAGGCCCTGGCACAAAATTCGTCCATAAAACAAATCACTCTCTCAACGGTTTTAAGAACATATTTTGTGAGTTGTCCAAACTATAATGAAGTAGAGAAAAAACTTCATTTTTTGTAGTGATCGCAGTATGAGGTGCAAGAAAACATGTGTGAGTTGATAATAAAAGAATAACTGACAGGAAGGAGGGTTTTAAGTAAAGAGAAGATTGCAAGGAACAGCAGGCTCAGTGGTAATGTAATAGGACTACATTATGTGTCGGAATACCAAAACACCAATTTTGAATTGTTTTTCGTTCTTCGAAACTAGACCTGCATAGCTATATGTCATGTCAAATCTTCCCTACATTGAATCTACTTGAAATAGACTGTTATTCACAAATGGGGAGTATTGATCTTCCGGTGTCTCTTTGTTCTTTCACAATTAATTCCATAACTCTGGAAGAAAAGGAGAGTCAAACTATTGCAGATTTTCTCTCTTCAACAACCTGTCTCAAGGAACTGAAATTGAATTTTTGCTCCGATAAAATGAAAATGGAGCCAATTCTTAGAGCAATGGCCGATAACAACTTATTGCCACTTGAAAGAGTAGATTTACAATGTAAGAGATGTCAAATAAATAAAAAAGCTGATGGATATTTGCTCGCATTTTAAAGAAAAGTACTGCACTGCAATACTTTTCAATGTTGTCTTCTTAAATTACTGCACATAAACTACAGAATTATTGCATTCTGTTAACCGTGATCCTACACTTCAAAACAAGTTATTGGAGCCGATGCGCGCCGAGGGTAATGTTTATTTTGAACGACTAGGAGTGAGTCAAGAGAAAGATATATTCACCATACCTGATCTATAATTATTATGAACAAAACAATGAATCCGCCTCTCATGATGACTCTGCCACTCCCAAGCTACCATTGTCTTATGATATTGCTACCAACTTAGCTCATGCCCTTTCCCACAACAGTGCTCTTGAGAATTTTATACCTTCTGATCACAAATCCTGAGATGCTGAAACTGTTGCCGTGTTCCAGGCTTTCAAACGTGACTCCAACCCTGTGAAGTTTATTCTCTCACATTCATGGCTTGGATGTAACGGAAACTATAGCTCTAGCTCTGGCTCTCTCTCTCTCGCAGGTGTTCTCTACAGGAGTTGAACCTAACTGATGTTGATGATGATGGAGCTAAAGCACTATGCTGCATTGACAGCTTCAGCTATACTTGAAAAAAGGTTGTTGGAAAACAGAAGTCAGTGAAGGAAGCTGCATGCAGACTAACTACAGATGATGATGTCAAAGCCTTGAGTCAAATATGCTCTTCGTATTTCGATTCAATGAGGACAGATTTTATTATATCTGTTGGAGGACTAACTGATGATGGAACAATTGTCCTGGCTGGAATTCTCCAACATAAGTATGAAATGGACTTCTCGGGTGTAAGTAATATTGGGGTCGTATCTTTGGCTAAGGCTCTCTATCACAATTCCACCATTTATGTACTGAAATTGTACAGCGAAATAGATGGTAGTGGAGCAGTCTCTCTCTTTTAGACCCTTCATCACAACTCTACACTCCGTGAATTGCAATTAGCCCTTATATAATAGGATTGGTGATGAAGGAGCAACAGCCCTCTCTGAGTCTCTTCAGAACTCCACCCTTAAGATTATAGGTCTGGGGAGCAACAGTATTGGTGATAGTGGAGCAGCAGCCTTAGCTGAGGCACTTCATCACAACTCTTCCCTGATAAAGATTGATTTGGCACTAAACAGTATTGGTAGCAACGGAGCAGTATCTCTATCACAAGCCCCTTGTAGAGTAACAACAGATGATGATGGCAAAGCCTTGAGTCAAATATGTTCTACATATTTCGATTCAAGGAGGACAGATATCTGTTGGAAGACTAACTGATGATGGTACAATTGTCCTGGCTGAAATTTTCCAGCACAAATACGAATCAAGAAAACAAGAATTGTTTGGGTATACAAGTAATGTTGGGGTCGTATCTTTGGCTAAGGCTCTCTATCATAATCATTCAAACACTGAAAATGAGTGTAGGTGACACTGGAGCAGTCTCTTCCTCTCAGACTTTTCATCACAACATTAATTTTATTTAGACCCAGTTAGCTATTGGTTAATGAGGAGCAATAGTCTCACTCAGTCTCTTCATCAGAACGCTACTCTCCAGATCCTAGACTTGTCAACTAACACTATTGGCTCC